CAGGTTCGTCTGTAACAGGAAAACACAAAGGAACAGTGATGTACCTCGGGGGACAAGGGGGTTCCCTTGTCCATCTCACGAGGGACACGTAGAGGTGGATGGTCTACGCAGTCTCGAGTTGCGGACCCCAGGCCCCCGTCCACCACCTGGAGGGTGCGGCAGCTTCCTGGGTGTGGTGAATGAATGATGGTGGTGTCGACCGAGGGGCAGCGGGATGGAGGAGTGAGTGGGAATGATGAGAGGGAAAGAGTGCAGGTCAGTTTTCTCCCAAGGAAGATGTGCAGACCCTCCCAAGTAGATCCTACAGGCCAGAAGGTGCTCACCTGCCCACACCTAGCTTCAAAGGAGGCCGGGAAGTGGCGCCTTCACTATGGGTGTGTGTCCAGGTAACACCTGCTGAGTGCGGAAGGCTCAGAGGACAGGTAATAGTGTCTCCCACAGGTGTTTCTCTCATTTATAGATGGGGAGACACAGGTGTGGGAAGCCGCGTAATTGGCATACCGTAACAGAGTCGGTGGCAAAGTCGGATTTGTGGCCACGCCGTGTGCTTTCAGAGTCTGCCCCTCCATGAATGGGAACTACTTCTCCTTCTTCTCCTCCATCATCTTCTTCTTCCCTCCTCCTCCTCCTTCTTCATTTTCAGAGAGCGAAGGAAATGGAGTGAGTCCACAGACAGTGCATGTGTAGTGAGAACGGGTGAGCAGGACAGAGGCCGTGATAAAGTCCCGCTGGGACTGGATCAGGCCCACGGCGATGGCATCGTTGGAGAGCCTCGAACGATGGGGGATTTCAACATACAGGGGCAAAGAGCAAGAGGCAGGGCGCTTAGCATGCATCGTGTACCCATTTTGTACTGCGGTTCATATTTCTATTCCCCAGTGATCTGTTTGTTTCTACAGCGGAGGGTTAGTCAAGGGAGTGTTTTTTGTTCTGACTGAATCAGCCACCAGTTGGGGGAGCTAGCATTGCTGGAAATCCTGCCTGGATGTGAGGCAGATGCTCTCAGCGAGAGCGAGAGCCCGTAGCTGCGTCCTCATGTGTGCTACTGTTCTCATAGGGGGTTCCAGCCAGGAAGCAGTCGGACCTGTAATCCATTGGCTCAGTGCTGGACCGTCCAGGGTCTGGGCTAAGGTGAACAGGTGGGATTGAGCCTGGGGGGTCAAGATGAACGAGGTGTGGGTCTACAGTGAGTGCGGACTGAGTTAGAAGACGCTGGTGCCCCCGGGGCGGCTCCAGGTGGGACGCCCGATGTAACATTTCTGGGTCTAAGAAGGGAACGGGGGCGTTGGTGTAGGGTGGCTGGCTGAGGAGAGGGGAGCAGACGGTGTGCTGTTTGACATGTGTCTTGGAAGCAGGGAGGTCACCGTGGGCTTGGGGGTTGTGGGACGGATTTGCAGACATCAGTAGATGGCGTCCGCATTCCTGAGGGGGCATTCCTGGGGTCCCTTGAGTGTGGGTCCCCCACGGTTCAAAAACAAAGCGTTACTGAAACGGTTCTTGAAGAACTTCAAGATGGCGGTGTAGCAGGAAACCCTGCCAGACGGAAAACCCACAGTGTCTGTGCGTGCCTTCCATGATATATACACGGAGTCCTCCAAGCGTCCAAAGTACATCTTGCCAGGACTAGCAGTCCGACGGCATTCATCACGGGAAGTCTGGGTCCGAGTGATGAATTCAGAGCCGGTGTGCTGAAGCCGTTTACATTTAATTGTCCATGCTCTTTAGGAATCCTTCGGGCGGGGGGAGAGTCTTAAGACGTGAATGACAGTAAAGGGATTTAAGAGCAGAGGGAATCCACTGTGTGTCTTGCTTAGATGGATGCTTTATGTTCACAGCTCACTCCTACGTGGTCTTCACTCTGCACTCGGCTCGGTGTAGCAACGGGGTTTTGAGGGCCCTCAAAGCAATGTCACGAGGCAGGGACTGTGATCTTCCTGACTTTACGGAAGGGGAGAGTGGGTCACAGAGAGGGTCACAGCCGTGCCCAGCATCATACAGCTGGGACACAGCAGAGCTGAACATAGAACCCATGCCGTCCGTCACGGCCGGGGTTCAGGCTGATCATACAACACAAGCCACGGAAACAGGAAACATATTCGGTTTTCAGGTAGGCTCTGCAGAGGTGAGAAGAACAGTCTTTCTTTAAAGTACAGTGGAATTTTAACAGGAGAAAAAAATGTATTTTTAAAAAAAAACTTTTTCTAGTATATGGAGAAATGTAGGATGAAATATGTTATCAAAATAATTTTGGGAGAGAGGCCAGAATATAGCTATTAGCATTTTAAGGTGACCAGATCCTTCCTATTTTATCACACGCCTGGGATGTAGTGTTTTCCTTTGAAATGGCAGCTCTGAAGTTGTGGATTCCTGGGTTCCTGGTGAATAATGAATGGAACGGGGTCCATGTCTTGTGAGCCTACGTGCAATAAAATGGATTCCCATTGCTCTAAGTGGAGCAAATCCAAAATGGTCCAAAGAAATAGCACAGAGAATAAGCAATCTTTTTGCAAAAATGTTGGAATTTCAGATTAGAAAATGAAAAGGCACATACCGCATAGAGCATACCAAACAAGCAAAGAATCAGAAAAATGAATTCTTCATCGTACACTTGTCGGGGCTGGGTCACGATCCCCCGCTGCTCCCGGGTGAAGATGCTGGAGATTTCCTGCCCGGCCTTTAAGTCAGTTCTGCAGTTCACAGCCGGGCGGGCCTGAGCGAAGGCGGTAATCGTGGGACTCTGTGTGCGTGGCTTTCAAAAGTGAGTGGGGAGCACGGGCCCTTGAAGTGAATTTGTTCGGGAGCCTGCATTCTCTGGGGGTTTTAAACACGCCGAGACTTGACTCGAATGTCAGGTTGGAAATGCCCTCTGGATCGGCAGCAGCCCAAGGGGCTTCCCGCACACATCTGTGTCTGTAACAGCCTTGGCCCTCGTGACCCTGACCGGCGATGGGCTCTCAAGGTGGCTGTGGCCTGGGTTGCTGGCAGGAGTCCTAAAGGAAATAGGTCGCACTTGGGAAGACACACAGGGAAAAGAGGAGTGCATGGAGAGAATGTTCAGGAAAGACATGTGCTTTTGAAAAACTCTGCTGGAGAGGTCCTCAGGGAACGGTGTCCGCAGCCTGGCGTGTCTGCCTGACTTCATCTTTAAAAGGCAGGTGTGCTGAGCACCTGGGAGCTGACCCAGGTGTGGGGTGGAGTCTCTCCCGGCATATCGGGGAGGCTAAGACGGGAGGCGTCCTGATACGGATGCCCCGTAACGTATTCACTTCTGGCTCACGCACGGGGCTTGCCCTTGCTTCCTACGTCTCCCACCTGCCCCCCAAAACCACAGAGAGGCTCACGTTCCCTTGCATACGCTCATCCGAGGTCAGGGGTTGCTCAGAGACAACGCGGACACCCGCGACAGTTGTGTTAGGTTGCTTCCATTGCTTTATTTTGTGTTGGCCTTGGTTGGTCACTAAAGATGCACGAGAATATATGCAGATTATGGAAGTGGATTAATAAACGCATATGGGATGCCACACAGTGGGAAGGTCTTTAGGACTTTACATTAAAAGTGCTGTAAGGAAAATGCAAAGGAGGACGTTCCCGTCCTGCACCTGAGTGCAGTGGGTCAGTAGCTGCTAATTCTTTCGGTGTCTGCCGTGTTTTTCCACGCAGGAAGCTGTTTGCTGAGCTCTCTCAGGGGAGGCTCTTTGATGAGCACGCAGCTCCTCACAGACTCAGAACATTCTGGAATAAACAGGGAATCCGTTCTTTGGTAACAATTTTTTGTAAAGCAGGTTTTTCCCCAATATTTGGGGGGTAGAACGGAACACAGACTTGATGTTCAAAGAACTTAGTTTTTAGGGGCGCCTGGGTGCCTCTGTTGGCTAAGCATCTGACTCTTGACTTCCGCTCACTCTTGAACTCAGGTTCATGTGTTCAAGCCCCGCACAGGCGTTAAAACAAAAACAAAAACAAGCTTAATTTTTTAAATGATGTAACCATCCTACTCTGGGGTCAGTGAATTCTCCTAATTTGGCATTTTTAACAGCTTTACTAAGAAATAACTTACACACCCTAAAATTCCAGTTCCACAATTTTTAGCAAATGTGTGGAGCTGTGCACACCCAGTCCCAGTCTAATCTGAGAACATTCCCTTCTGCTGCCCATTGGCGGTCCCTCCCCATCCTCGCTAGCAGGCTCATTTAATTCTTGATTTGCTACTTTCAGGCTTTCTCAGAGCAGAGAAAATACAATGTTCACCGAGGCCTTCGTGTGTTTAAGATTGCGTGTGATGTCTGTGTGTGCGTGTGCTTTTAGCGTCTCTCCTGCACATGTCAGCAGGGAGCCTCCTCCCTCTTCTGGAAGGTTCTCTTACTTTTAAACGGCAACAGAGGCCGCAGGTTGAAAAGGTTGGAGAGCAGGAAATGGTAGAGCTGGGTGGTAGAGAGACAAACAAAAATAATCTGTTTGTCCGTGTGTGTGTGTGTTTATCGAATGTCCGCTCTGCAGTGTTCCAAGCTATAAAGTCCATGAGACCCAAACGACCATCCTGGCTGAGTTCTGTGTGCAGACTGTTCATAGGCTTTTTCTTCTCTTGCCTGCACCAGCATCGCCTCGGACATTGGGGGTTGGGGAAGAGGAGGAAGAAGGAGATGGGAGGAAATAGGGAGATTTTTGTGCATAAGAAGAAAACGCCATGGTGACCTTGTGTAAATTTGCCTCACAGAAGCTGTCGTTCTGTCCGTTTTACCATTTCTTCTTTGGCCGTTACAGCTTAATGCATGCTCTTGCTTTGCTTTTTGTTTTTTGTTTTTTGGGGATTTTTTGGTTTTTTTTTTTTTTTTTTTGAGCTATGGTGTTCTTCTTTGGAGCGGTAAGGACGAGCGAGACGTACGTCCGGTGCCCCGCATCCCGGAAGCACGGGGCGGCGTAGTGTCTGTGCATGCTCCCCTCTGCGGTGAGGCTCAGGGCGCTTCCCACCCCATGCCAACCTGTGTCCTTGTAAACCACAGGCACGTCCGTCTGGAAGGCCTTCTTCTTCACGCCCAAGTTCAACCCCGAGGGCGCCAACGGGTGCTTTTCCACACACGTGTGTTTATGCCACGGGCAGTTTGTGAACCAGCATCACCCGCCGCTGCTCTTCGATATTTCCAGAGACCCCAGGGAGAGAAACCCAGTATCGCCGATGACCGAGCCCCGCTTCCAGGAGATCGTCGACGTCATGCAGCGGGCTGCAGACCGCCACACCAAGACCCTGCAGGAGGTCCCCAATCAGCTGTCACTGGGCAACATTCTCTGGAAGCCGTGGCTTCAGATGTGCTGCTCATCTTCCGGGCTGTCCTGCCAGTGTGACCGGGAGGAACAGGCCAGGAGGGAGAGCCGCTAGGTGCACGTCCGGGGACAGAGGCCTGGCGCCCGCTCCGCCTCCTGCCTTGTGCACACACAGGGGGGCGGCCCTGCGGAAAGCCAGCCCTGTCGGCACCTCGGACTGGGAGCCTCTCTCCATCTTACTGCCCAAAGGCTCCATCAGGAGCCCCCCAGTTACCCCAGGGGAAAAGCAAAGTCTACGGTATACACAGGGATAAATGCCAGACTTGGGGTTCCATGGCCAAAATTCTTAGAGTCCTGTAAGTGTGGGGGTTCGGGTGGGTAGGAAGGAGCAGAAGGTATCATGCTGACACCTCTGCAAATGAGTGGACCCATGGCATAAGGTGCCATTATTCCACGATGCCTTGTGGTGTATCGGCCGCCATGATTTCCCTGGCACACCAATAAAGAACGGAATAGCATTTAAACAGCACTTACTAAATCTTAATACATGCAACTCAGAATGAGTTAAAGGACCATCTTCTTCACCAATAATAGGTGATGCTCAATTGCAATTTGATTTGGAAGGCAATTATTATCAGTGTTATTTAGAGCACATATTAAAAGCTATGCATGATAGGTATATTTACAGATACACAGTTTATTTCTTTCCTCAGGAAATCAGAGATAATTAAACTGTAAAACTAGAAGCTTCACACTATTTAGGTAAAAGCAGGAGCGGTTCACAGATTAGACTTTTCTCGTGCAGCAGACTTTTTTGTGAAATCCTTCGGGAACCATAATCCCAAGACAGTCTGTCCTGAATGGATTCCCGTTGCATAATTTATAGTGTTATATTTGGGCTTTACTGTTTCTTTGGTGAATGGAAGTTCCCAGATAAACGCTACCTCGGGGGATACTGTAGCACAAGGAATCCCTCCCGATGCAGTGCAGAATTATTGGCCTGGAAAGTGTATTACTTGGCGGGGAGAGCTCGTAAGCAATCCATGACCCATGCACAATATCATGATACCTTTCGTTCCTGCAGAATTTACTGATGAGACCACAGTAGCTCATATAAGTACCTTTGTTTTTTACACTTGTATTGTGTGGCTAACAAGTACCCGTGCCTTCCATCCTCGATGAGATGTACAATTTCGTTTTCATCCTGCTTCTCCCAACATCAGTAATTGAGGGGTAGGGCATCACCAGGCCACGTAGGAGGGGGTGGGCAGTGGCTCTGTGGGAGGAAGGTCCTGAGTCTGCACCACCAGCCCCCACGGAGGAGAGAATGCACCTGAGTAGAGGATGCTCATGTCACTCGATCAGACTCTAGACATCTGCCAACAGGATCATGTGGATTCCTTTTCGGGTCAGTGGAGAGGAGCTGCCGTTCCCGTGCCTATCCCTTTGTCTCTTTAGTGCACGTGTCCGAGCATTCCCTCTTGGCCCGGTGTTTGCTCTGTTCCAGGAGACAGCAGATCAGTGCAAAGCCTGGACCCCGTGTGGCCCTGCGGAGAGAATGTGTGCTCTCAGGCGCCCTGACCACGGGCCACACGTCTCTCCACGTGTCCCCCACCCCGGGAAGAACTTCCAAGATCCAGTAGTATTACTGCATTTCCTCCTGAGATCCGTGATTTCACATTTTACATCTTTCTTTTCTTACAACCTACAAGTGATGATTTTTCCTCCCCTCCCCGGGAAAGGTTGAAAGTTGGCGAGCAAACGGGTCTCTTATTTTTCGTGTGGATTTTGAGAATCTGTCCTATTGCTTTAGGAACCGCTAACAACTGTACTAACTTGTTAATACCGGGGTAGGGCTATTGCTGGCATTACTATGCAGAAACTTTAAAACCACTGTTACAAACTTAGGTATTACGCTGATCGTGTTTACTCAAAGTTTAACACACTCAATGCAAGTGCACTCTTCTAGACAACACTTCGGGGGGTGGGGATGTGTGTTGGAGGATTAAGTGAAAGGAAGCACTTTTATAGAATATGTGAATACGTATGTATGTATAGAGTTTTTCAGTCTGTACTGAATGTTAGCAGCCAATGAAGGACATCTACCTTTAGAAATAAAATCAGGTTTTAAAATATTTGCCTCAAGGGGCGCCTGGGTGGCTCAGATGGTTAAGTGTCTGCCTTCGGCTCAGGTCATGATCTCAGGGTCCTGGGATCGAGTCCCGTATTGCGCCCCCTGCTCAACGGAGAGCCTGCTTCTCCCTCTCCCGCTACCCCTGCTTCTGTGTTCTTTCTCTCAAATAAGCAAATAAAGTCTTAAAAAGAAAAAAAACCTATTTGCCTCAAAATAACTTACGACTGTTATGAACCAGGGTATTGGAAAATCAGGTTTATTCATGATAAGCTTAATTCTTAGGTTTCAACCCCCTTGCCATCTGAAAGTTTTGCTTGGGATCCACAGCAGGAAATTTGAATTCTTTTTCCAGCAGACACCTAGCAAGCCTTTTTTATGACCTGGTCTGTTTTGTTTTTACAAGGCCGTACCAGACTACTTGTTTTCAAAGCATCTCACTGGTATTACCTCTTGAGTTGTACGTCCAAACCTTACCGGGCTTTGGAGCTTTAAACAGATTCTTTTAAAAGAAAGAAGGCTTTCTATTCGTAGCATGTCCTAGGTCTGGCCACGCTAAGCAAACAGGAACTGTGGACAGACCTCATTTCCCAAGGTCAGTAACCCTGCGTGAAAAGCAGAATCGCAGCCCGCATCGTGAAGGATTCAAGAAGAGAAACAGACATTGGATTGCCCTGGAGGACGTCCAGAGGAGAGGGGAGAAAAGATGCAGGGAAAGGACTCGGTCCACGTCTGAAAGACGCCGTCTCTAAAGTGACGCACCTGCTTAAGGTTTCTGAAAACGTCGGTCTGATGTCCATGCAAAGGTAAAATAAAATTTTCCTTGGCGACGAAACGTGTTGTAGTGCTTTGCCTTCTCGCGTGACTCGATGCAGCAAGTGTGTGGAGGGTTGACTGTGTGAAGCGATGGGGGCAGCTGGTTTCAACGGGACAAATAGTGCCTGCATCCCTAAGCCGCAGGGAGCGATCGGAAGTGTAGAGACGGACAGGAAATAAAACAGCCCCTCCCATCTGATCAGGCATGCACACTGCCTCAGGTCTTTTGGGGGGGGGGCGTGTGAAAAATGCCTTAATTACTTTTATTTTATTTTATTTATTTATTTTTTAAAAAGACTTTATTCATTTGCGAGAGAGACAGAGAGAGAACAAGCAGGGGGAGAGGCAGAGGGAGAAGCAGACTCCCTGCTGAGCAAGTAGCCCGATGCGGGACTCGATCCCAGGACCCTGGGATCATGACCTGAGCCAAAGGCAGACGCTTAACCATCTGAGCCACCCAGGCGCCCCCTTAATTCCTTTTAAAATCAGAAGGAACAAGATGAACATTGAAGGTTGAAGATCACATACACTTGTGTACCCATACAGTCGTAAAATAGGATCTTAATGTGTTTTCACGTGTTTTAGGTTCGCACGCAACACGTCATTGTCTTAAAACCTATTTACTATGTTTTCCCTTCGCGTGCACGTCCAAGTCTCGAGTGCCCCTGTACGTGGGGGAAACACCTCTTGTGCTCATGAGATATTTGCAGCAGAGAAGTCTGCAGGGTCGAAATTGAGGAACGGAAAACATTGATCTCTCGTCCGGTCTTGAGACAGGATTCCTTTGGAAGACCGAAGCCGAGTCAGAATCAAGCATGGCAGCAGTAAGAAGGACGGGGAAGACGGTGTGGGCACAGGGGGCCCCACCAGGGTTCCCATTTGACCCAGCACTTCTGCACAAACGCTAACACGGGTCCTTAGGGAGAGGTCTGTGTAGACGACGCGTGGTGACTTGTAGACGCTCCGAGCTGGCTTAAAGCCTCATTACACGCTCGTTAGCTCTCAAAGAACGTGCTGTGTGATGTCAGTGTCCCCGTTAAATCCAGGCTCCCTCCAGGACACCTCCAGTGGGTCTAAGTGGGGGACTCTAGTGCCCTGGTCATCCTTGGGGTTCTACTAATGAGGTTCAGATGCTCTAAATGAGTTTGCAGGATAGCGCTGTTTAGCTTACAGGGCACATAATCACATCTTCTTAGAGGCAGATTGCACAGTGCCTAGGTTTGCTTTACCCAGTGTGCAACCCGTCACTTTTTTATTATGTTAATCACCATACATTACATCATTAGTTTTTGATGTAGTGTTCCATGATTCATTGTTTGCGCATAACCCCCAGTGCTCCACGCAGAACGTGCCCTCTTTAATACCCATCACCAGGCTAAACCCATCCCCCACCCTCCTCCCCTCTAGAACCTCAGTTTGTTTCTCAGAGTCCATCGTCTCTCGTGCTTCGTCTCCCCCTCCGATTTACTCCCCTTCATTCTTCCCCTCCTGCTATCTTCTTCTTCTTTTTTTTCTTAACATATATTGCATTATTTGTTTCAGAGGTACAGATCTGTGATTCAACAGTCTTGCACAATTCACAGTGCTCACCATAGCACATACCCTCCCCAATGTCTATCACCCAGCCACCCCATCCCTC